AGGTATGACTTGGCCAATACGATCAGCTTTATTTAGCCACATTTGTATATTTGAATTTGTTCGCTCGTCGTTTCCTATTTTTAAATTACACAACAACAACAACAACAAAAGCAAGAGAGAGAAAGCATCAAGACGAGCAAGATGAAATCGTTAGCTGCACTTGTTATATATCGAGTATTTTTCTTTGCCTTCCCCCGTAAATATTGTTTGGCTTTTTCTGTTTTTCATATTTTCTGAACAATTTTTGTCAAAACGCATCGTCAACATTTGACAAAAGGCAGCTGTGCTCAAGTACGAGAACAACGTGATGAACATAAGACAATTCAACTGCTCGCCGCATCCCTACTGGCTGCCCAACTTCATGGACGTCTTCACGTGGTCCCTGCCCTTTGTTGGCGAGAAGGTGAGCCCCGCCCTTCCACCCCTGCCTAAGCCACGTCAAGCAACACTCATTTCATTCGAAGCCACATTCTATTCCAGGTCACGGAGATGTTGGTTAATGTGCTCAACATTTGCTCAGACGACGAGCTTGTCGCCGGCCCCGATGATGAGCTGGAGGAAGGTATGTATATCTACTAATAAGATACACTCTAAGTAGATTTGTGTATCTGTGTAAATGTGTGTGTGTATGTCTGTTTAAATGTCGTATGCGCCACAGTAGTTAAATACAACATCTACTATTATTCGGCTAGCCGATATCGAAATACTCTTTGCAGTCGTTTATTGTAAATTTATTTGTGAATTTGTTTTGTATGCAATATGTTTGGTATGTATATGCCAATTTAGAGGAAGCTCTGATATAATCGTTGTTATAGTTCATGTGAAATTTAAATTTGAAAAGAAGAAATTGATTTTCGGCATTAGTTAAGTTACCTTATAGAATTATCATTTCGTATGTTGAATAATTTTTTAAAATTAATTTCATCAGAATTAATTAATTAAATTAAGTATTACAGTCTAGTCCTTTCTCTAGAGAAACTCAATCTGCGAGCAGTTATTCCTCAAAAAAACCAAATCTACTTTAAGACTAACCCTTTCAGAGAAAAAGACTTGTGATATTAAACCACAAATCGAATATATCCTCTGCAAGAGTATTGAAAATGAATACAAAATCCACACAACTATAACTATTCTTATATTAAAACAAATTATTTTTAAAAATGTAATAATAAAACCAACAACAACATCTACAACAACACACAACCAACCAACCCCCCACCAACCACTGAAAACACACGCCCCCTATTTTCGGGATCGTGCTGGGATGTGGGTTATTTTGGGGCTCACGTGCGTAGAGCTGCGCAAGAAAATTGTGCTCGTGCCGGCGACAGTGAATAATAGCAATAACAATAATACGCCCAGTAAGCCAGGTAAGCTCCGTGTTGCGAAAGAGCTTAATAAGAGTGCTTTGCACAGCTTTGATCAGCTTTGGCGCAAAGCTTTGCCTAAACATTGACCAGCGCTCGCGCGCTGTACCAGAATCGCCTAGATATGCTGCTAAAATGTATATACATAGATGTTATATATAGATGATTGGTTTCCGTCTCGAAATAACCCAACTAATTGAACTCTACGTATTCGCAGCTTCCATGTCGGCGCTGCGTAAGGAAATAATCCGCAACAAAATACGCGCCATTGGCAAAATGTCGCGTGTCTTTTCCGTTCTGAGGTGAGCAGAGATTCACCTGTAGCCCTATTTTTTAAGCATATTAACTGTCGTACACCTTGCAGGGAAGAGTCGGAGAGCGTGCTGAAACTAAAGGGCTTGACGCCCACGGGCGCATTGCCAATGGGCGCGCTTTCTGGTGGACGTGATTCACTCAAAGAGGGTAAGCTTTACCGGAAACTAATGTCAAAAAAACGAAAACATAGAACATAGAACATAGAACATAGAACATAGAACATAGAACATAGAACATAGAACATAGAACATAGAACATAGAACATAGAACATAGAACATAGAACATAGAACATAGAACATAGAACATAGAACATAGAACATAGAACATAGAACATAGAACATAGAACATAGAACATAGAACATAGAACATAGAACATAGAACATAGAACATAGAACATAGAACATAGAACATAGAACATAGAACATAGAACATAGAACATAGAACATAGAACATAGAACATAGAACATAGAACATAGAACATAGAACATAGAACATAGAACATAGAACATAGAACATAGAACATAGAACATAAAACATGGAACATAGAACATGGAACATAGAACATAGAACATAGAACATAGAACATAGAACATACAACATAGAACATAGTACTGAAACACAGATCTTAGAGACCAACATATAGAAGTAAAGAAACTTGGAATTCAAAAGTCCTACCCCAGCTAAAACAAACTATAATAAAGTTATTAGATAATAAAAATCTTTAGAGCTGTGCTTATCATTAACATTGTAGGCAACTATCAGGATGATGGAAGTCTTTTATAGATTTACACTCAGATATAGAGTGGCGTAACTTTCTATCATGCTATACAACGGGCTTAATGAAATCTTTGATATATTCGACAGCTCTACAAGGACTGACCGCAGCCTCACAGATTCATTCCTTTGCCGAGGCGAAGGGCTTGGATGCTGTCAATGAGCGGATGCCGCCGCGTCGTCCACTTACGATGAGCGCCAGCAGCAGCAGCATCACAACCATCAACAGCACCACCACCAGCAATAACAACAACAACAACACAACAACCAAGAACAGCAACAGTGATGCCACGCTAACAAAAACCAGCCGAACAACCGTTAGATCGGCGACCACCAGCAACGTGCGCAGCGGTTACACATCGAAGAGATTCTCATAGTCGGCGGGATGAGAACTAGGCACTGCTGAGTCAGTGCGATGTTAAATTTAGCTTAATTGATTTTCAGTTTCATTTGCTAGTCACTTACCCAATTACATTTTCTTTACATATTTTTTATACTTCTACAAATGTACATCGATTATTTTGTTAGCACAAATTTTATACACAATTCGCTTGTAATGCTAGTAAAAATTGTTACATCTTTCATGGAATTTCTATACTTGTAGTACGCTAAAAAACGTTTACGTGACATGAATAATTTTTAATAAACCTGACAGTAAATAGCGCAAAAAAAGCTAATATTTGCACCGGCCAGGGCCAGGAATGGGGGGCGGAATTTACTATTTAATTTGCGGTTAGGTGTTGTGGGGGTAGTCAGCCAATGCCAAATAAAGCTGTCGATTTAACAGTTAGCTGCAGCAGCTCAACTCATGCGTAACAGATCAACAATAACAACAACAAAACGAGAGTCATAAAGCAATCCAGTGTAATAATTGAGCAGCGAAGAGCAGGCGAGAATCATCAAGGCAACCGCTTGAAGTTTTCCACTCTTTACCTTTCGTATGCCAACTGTTCTTTACGGCTTTTACATTGCCCCGTTAAAAACGTGCGCAATCAGACGCCAGTTGCACAGATAAAGAAAAGAAAACTGAACGCTTGGGCACACTACAGTGCTCTCTGGCAAACTTGACCCACATTTGCTAAGCAATTCAATTTAATTCTCTCAAATATGCGAATATCATAAAAGTAAACTCTACCTGGGCTGTACCAGTTAATGAAAGCCTGAAATTCAATTTTTGACTAATGACTTTGATTTCTGCATCAGTCTACACAGTTAGCTAGTTCTCTTTAGTATATATATTATTGGATTTATATAGACCTAATTATTTGTAGTCTAATAGTGAAGAAAAGCTTCGTTTTCTTTTTGATTGTCGTATAATTTACAGTAGTTCGTTCCGCGTGATGTGGCTCATGCTTGGAAAAACTAACTAATAATATTGTAAAACTGCTTTTATCTATATGAATTTATAATATTGTAGTTTGAAGTGAATAAAACGGGTTTGATCACAAATGCATGCAAATCTAGATCCACAAACGTACAGCTTGCTGCATACCAAAAAAGTCAATCCAATACTGATAACTGATAAACTAACTCAATGTAAATTGCATAACAAAATACTTGAGATTCGCACTAAACTTTAGTCGGCCATAAACGTGGCTAAGAACGTGTGGAGCTCCAAGCAAAAGAAAAGCTAAAAATGTTCAAAATATTTATTTTAAAGCAAAAAGCTGAAGGTTGTATGTATTTATGACGTCTTAAGCATATAGTCAATGTTTAGTTTCGTCGAATCTGATAAGACTGCATAAAAAAAGCGAAAAGAACGCATGACGCCTGACAAATGAATGATTTATGCTGAATTTAGAATAAACTCGCGATCTCATTTGCCTCAGCAGAGTCTCGCCTGCACATCGGACAATAGAACCAATTTTAGGCCCGTCGGAGTCATTGTTCAGATTGAAGAGACTGTTGGCTGCTGGCGCCCCCTTATAGAATGATGCTGACATTGATCGAGGCTGTATGAGAGAAGAGCGAGAGAGGCCCTCGGAGACAGCGACGCTAAATCTAAGGCAAATAACGTGCTGTCTAATTCAAGTTATTTTATTTGGTTTTCTGGTTTTCTCGGTTTCAGTTCGGATAATGCAAACAATACGCAAATGTCAGAGGAAATCTTTTATCAATTCTTGAAATAGTACATCTGCAGCACGCATAAGATACGAGATCTGATAAAGAGAAGAGCCCGCCCATCAGTCGACGGACAGCTGCTTGGGCAACAGATTCACGTGCCATTTAAGCCGTAATTCAACGTATTGGCACATGCTGTTGGCCCGTGGCCGTTAACAGTCGATCGCAAATATAATAAAAACAAGCCAAACGATGCTTTATTGCCGGCCGAGACCCACAGACGACAAATTGTTGCTGTTGTTGTTGCTTTTTAATGTGTTTATCTGTACTGCATTTCGCAAAGAAAAAAACTGAAAAGAAAAGCAATAAGCTCGCTCGTAATGCTCCCGGTTCTAGACTGACGTCGTCGTCGTATGCCCGCTTCGTGCACAGCCGCCGATCGGCACCGATCGTCACCGATCGTGCTCGCCATATAACGGCGCTTCAGCGTACTCCGAGTCGCCAGTCGCAACAAATCCACTAATTGTGACCCATTCGCGAGCTCGTGTTCGTTCTCAAGACCCGCGATCCGTCAAATTGAACTAGTTTTACGTTTATTAGTTCTACCCCTCTTCATGGACAACTAGAACTTGCCCGCAACAGTGATATTAATAATATATATATAGCGTGTAGATATATACAAAATCCCAGCATCGACTCAATCGTATCCATAAGATGTATTCGGTTCTATTCATACTCCTCGCCGTATCTCTGGGCGCCTGGTCGGCCACAGTGCAACCGCCGCCCTTGATCCAAACTCTGAGCTCAGCTGGCGGCGGAGGCATTGGGCCCGAGTTCAAGCTCACCGAGAACCAGGACGACATCTCGGAAGGTAAAACATTCATTTATCTGTATTATGCGCAACTTAGAGCATAAGTAGAATCGCGTCTTGGCACGTGGACAGGCGAGCAAATGTCGCATTCGAGCGTTTTATTGCTACGTGTTAGTTCAACTCAATCAGTTCCATTTCAATTATGCAATAGAAAAAAAAAGAAAATTTTATTTAAATAAATGTAGTACAAAAAAAATAGATGGATGGATATTTATAATATATAACTATTTAAATTTTACAAATGCTAAAAGTTAAAGTTTTCAAAAAAGTTCAAATTACGCATTAATTTAAGAAATTTTTTAGTAAAATATATTTAGATATATACCCTTAATCATACATATATATTTGTGCGAGGTCAAATTTTTTTTGTGTTTTTTGAACTTTTATTGTTTTTTTTTAACAAAAAAGTCAACAATCAATCTGAGATTTACTTTTATTTAATATTCTCATTAGGCATTTATCTTCAACTTAAGTAATTAAGATGCCAAGCCATTATGATTCGAAGTTAAATGCCTTGTTTAAATTGCGGCTTGAGAATTATTTAATAATATGTCAAAAATACTCTTCTTAGCACATTTATACAAGAAAAAATTAAGTTTAAATACCCTACAGACAAGTATGCTAAATGAGATTTTTAAAATAAGAAATCAGAAAATATTTTTCATTTTGAAAAAAAAACTTAATTTTCTTGTACTTTCTTAATATAGTAGTTCGATATGCTTTTATATTTTTTATATATTTCTACTTTATTGTTGTACAGAAGTATTTTGAATTAGCATTAAAAATTAAGCTAATAAGTTCCGTAACAAATGCAATAATCAAATCAAAAAATTAGACTATCAAAACAGCGTAAAACTCAAAACAAACTAAAAAAAATACATATATATATATATAAACAACTATATTAGATATGCTATATAAATAATTAACCGTATATAATATGTATTTATAACAAATATCGACTAATATTTACACACGTTTTATTATTCGTGGAACAAATAAACTGAGTCAAATGCAGAACTCAAATAATTTTCAATTTACTCAGCTGATCTGCCGAAACGCAATTCATATTTGGATATTTGGATAAACAAGCTAAAAGTCACTCGAAGTCAGCTTCACTTAAAAATTAAAACAATATCAAAAGACATCAGAGTTGTTTAAAAGCATAAACGAAATAATTCTCACATTTTTTTCACATTCACATGGTTAGTTCTTTAAGTTGGTTACAAAAGAATCTGCGCTTCAATTGAGGACAACAATTTTTAATTAAGATATAAAGAGATTGAGCCGCATGCTAACCAAATGGCAAACTTTTCACAATCAAATTTGACAAACAACAATTAATTAGAACCCTTTAACGGTTCGTCGCAGGTGCTACATTCGTGGGGCTGTCAACGTCGTCTTCCGGCAATAATTGTGATAATTAAACAAGCAACAGCCAGAAGCCACAATTATCCACATCGATTTCATTGACAATTCAAATTAACAGTCCGTCAACGCAACTTAACTGTAACGTGCGTCAATGTGTTGAGGTGAGGCGGGGTGTGTGTGTGGGCGTAGTGGAAAGGGGAAGAAGTGAGGCAGGGGGGATGAGTGCTGTTTAAACAAACGCCAAATGCATACCTAAGATGATGCTGTCAATAAAATAGCAAGTGGTCGGGGGAAGAACCAGACGCATGCATGCCCTATAAGAACATATAATTAGGAATAAATGTAAAAAGTGTTAGACTAGCAGATGCTCTGGAAATATATATAAGTTCTACAATTAAAGAAAAGAAAATTCAAATTATATAGTCGATGACAAATATATATAACCTATAAAATTTAATTTTGACTTTACTCTAGAATTCCTTCCATAAAACTAATGAAATAAAAGAATATAAATTTATTTCCAAATATCTCAAAGTATTTTATACATACCCTTTCTATATACATATGCTAGGTATCAGAAATTAGCATTACTATTATCTTTATATACATACATCTTCCGCCGTTAAATGTCAAATAGCTGAATCCATATATAGAGAGAAAAGTACTGATGTCTATTAAATGAATTATTTAAACACTTGAAAATGTAAAATCCTAGTTAATTGAAGCTTTGTGAGTGCAGTAAGTAAACCCCAGTTCTAGAAATAGAATTGCTCGTTGGCATAACCAATGGACAGCAGATCGGAATGGCGGGGGGCTTACAGAATCGCTGAAACGTTTCTAATAGGTATTATGTGCTCAACGAGCGACTTCCAGATATTTGCGTTGTCTTTATGGCAAAATAAATCTAAATAATTAGTCACTGCGGCTGAGTCTAGATATGATCGGTAGATCGAGCGAGTGTCAAGTGGGTTTCACCAGTAATAATTAGAAAAATCGACAACGAGCTGCGATCGTGCCTAACTCATTTCCAATTTCCTATTATAGATGCACAATTCTGGCGGCAAGTAGGCCTAAAGCAACTGGGCAAAGCTATTGAGCAGGCGAAGCGGGCCAAGGAGAGCTTATATCAGCACAAGGCCAAGAACATTATCATCTTTATTGGCGATGGCATGGGCCTGTCCACGATCAGTGCCGGTCGCATCTACAAGGGCCAGTATCTAAAGCATGGCCATGGCGAGGAGGAAATGCTGTCCTTTGACGAGTTCCCCTACACTGGCTTAGCCAAGGTAAGGAAACTAACTAGCTACGTCAATCACTAGTCAGTCAACTTACAATGAGAAAAATAAATCAGTAAATCAGTTGGTAAGCCAAATATTGATCATTCAGGCGAATAATAGGCCAATCTATAAGCCGATCAATCAGTCCGCAAGTCGAAAGGTTTACAAATAGTTAATTCAAACAAATGGCCAATCAGCAAGTTAGGCAATCAATCATATTTGCAATCAGTCATTTGGTTAACTAGTAGGAGAGCCAATTAACTAGATTCATTCAGCTAACAAGTCTCAAATTCATTTAACAGTTCAATCCAATTCTTTCTTTAAACAACCCCTTAATCAATCAATCAATCATCCAATTAATTAGTTTATAAATCAGTCAGTACATCTAGAAATCAAAACCAGTCCAGCCATCACTCTTTCAGCTTGTCAATCAATAGGCTATACAATCAGTCGATTCATTTAATCAGTCAATCAAATACTTTCATCCTTATATTCGTAAATTTATCACTTATTCGATCGGGCCATCGATTAACAGCAGTTCAATCTTTTAATATTGTGACCCATCAGTCATATACGAACGAAATCAATTAATTTTCTCTTCGACAGACCTACAATGTGGACAAGCAGGTGCCGGACTCGGCGGGCACAGCCACAGCTATATTCACAGGCGTGAAGACCGACTATGGCGCCATTGGCATGGACTCAACGCGTTCAAAGACGAACGCCAGCCAGGGACGACTCGAGTCCATCATGGATTGGGCGCAGCGCGAGGGCAAACGCACCGGCGTCGTGACTACCACACGCATTACGCATGCCACACCTGCGGCCACCTATGCAAAGATCTATCATCGAGACTGGGAATGCGATACGGAGGTGCCGACGGATTCAGTTGGCATACACACGGACATTGCGCGTCAGCTGGTGGAAAATGCGCCCGGTAACAAGCTGAATGTGGTGTTAGGCGGAGGCCTATCGCCAATGGGCGCCTACAATCAGTCGGAGGTGAAAACCGTCAATTTCGAGGGCGGCACCGAGGACATTTGCAAGCGCAGCGATAATCGCAATCTGGCCACCGAGTGGCTGCAGCGACATGCCAATGACAGCGCCGATGCGGAGCTGGTCTACACGCGGGAGCAGCTGCTCAAGGTGGATGTGAAAGAGGTGGACCATCTGATGGGCCTGTTCCGCAATAACCACATCACCTACTCCATTGCACCCGAGCAGGGCGAACCCTCGCTGCAGGACATGACCGAGACTGCGATCGGTGTACTGGAACGTGGCGATAAGTCAAAGGGCTATGTGCTCCTGGTCGAGGGCGGACGCATTGACCAAGGTCATCACCAGAATTATGCACGTGCTGCCTTGCATGAGGTCTACGAACTGGATCTGGCCGTGCAGGCGGCGTTGAAGATGACCGATTCCGACGAGACGCTTATCATAGTAACTGCGGATCATTCCCATGCGGTCACATTCAATGGCTATCCGGAGCGGGGCGCTGATATATTGGGCGCTGCCAACTTGCACAAGCCCAAGGATCCCATGGTATATGAGACCATAACTTATGCCAATGGACCCGGCTACTTTGATCATTTGGCCAATGAAACAAAGCCCGCTAACAGCTCCAATGTGTGGATGCCGTTTAAGCTATTCACCAAGGAGCAAATCGAATCGCCCACCTATCGTCACATGGCCACGCTGGCACTGAAGGATGAGACGCATGGCGGCGAGGATGTGATTGTCTTCGCTAGCGGCCCAGGCGCCAGTCTGGTGCGCGGTGTCTTCGAGCAGAACTATTTGGCTTATGTGATGAGCTATGCCGGTTGCATGGGCCCAGCCAAGAGTTTCGATGAATCGTGCAAGCGCCATCTGTCGCCTGTTGGCGACAACAATGGAGTCAGTAGTTTTGCTGCTCTGAGACTCAGTATTGTTCTTCTGCTTGGAACTTGGCTGATCATGCTGATGCTGTAATCCTTATTGGCACACAAGCACATGTGTCTGTGTGTTTTGTTGTACTATATAGAATTTACGGGTTTGTAGTTAACTTGATTAATATGTTAGTAAAATAATAAAAACCAAATTGTTACAATTTAAACAAGTGATCGACTCGAAGTTACTCTTCCACTTAAAGTGCTATCCAGATCTTACAAGCTTATAGATTGATAAAGAACACTCCGTAAGTAATAGACGAACGCACCTATTTTAAGTATATTAAATTATTTTACTATGGTTCACAATGACACTCGCGTTTAATATCGCTTTTCTTCTCGTTTAAACATATCTCTGAAGGCTTTTTGGGGTATGCGTTTAAGTTAGGACAACCAAATAAGAAAGAAACAATTTGAAACGTTCAACAGGTTCTTATCCAGCTTTAACAGCTTTGCTGGCAGCAGCAGCAGCTGGCGCTTTGGTTGCTTGGGCTTCGGTATCCAGTTTCTTTATACGATGCACATCGACGCATTGCCTGAACTGGTTGACTTCCTCAATACACTTAAGCGTTTCGCCGGGATGTGCACGATAGCAGGCGAGTAGCTGGCTCTTGATGTCTCCGCATGGTGGTGTCTTGTGCGCCGATGCTGTGCTCACAAAACGCTTGTGCACACCCTCGACGGCGTTCGCATACTCAGACTCCATAATGGTGTTGGTCTTCTTCAAGTTCTCTTCCAGCTTGGTCATACGCTGTTTCCACAGCTCATCGTTCTTGACTAGCTCTTGGTTCATCTGGCGCTGCACATCAGCTGCGCTGATCGTGTGTCCACCGCCCTGCACATAGATGGGCGTTGGGTTCTGGTAGACAACTGCTGGGGGTGCCGGGGCTGCCTCTTTGACGGCCGCTTTCTTGGGGGTTTCCTGTGGTTTGGGTACCGGCTTTGGCACCTCTGCAACGGCAACATTTTCACGCGCTGAAAATCGCAAGATATTTTGTTAGTGTACATATTTAATTTATATATAAATAAATGATCATTTGACATATTGTTGCATAACACTTGGCCGTAGTAAGTTTTTAAGCTTGGCAGCGCAATTGCAATTGTTTGTCAGAATTTGTACTCTACCCTGTTGTGATATACCCTGCTTCAGGCGTTTCACCACATCGTCGGATATATCGAGGACGCCGGCAGGAGTTGGATTTTCCATTGAAACGGAACGTGGATCACGCGATTGCTTTGCGCCCATGTTATAGCTGTTGTTGTTTGTCGCTGTGAGGTAGCCTGTTTAATGGCGAAAATGTCGCAAATGTTATTTTTTGTTTATATTGGTGGTAATCACCAATTTTATCAACTTTATGGCAATTTTTATAAAATAATACCTTTTCGTTTGCAAAGTTGTGTTGGGCTACTAAAGATGGACAATAGAGAGCGATGTGTGGTAATTGAGATGAGCGATATGCGCTCTTGCATATCTAGAGATAAGCGATATTCACGAATGAGTTGAGTCACGTAATGAGTTGAGCATATATAAGTTTGAATGTATTATAATATTATTATGATTATTAAATAATGTTTGAATTAAACAAAGTATATATTTTTCATTATACTTACGTTTAATTCCTTTCATGGCAATTCAATGTATCGCTTACAAACGCAGTCCATGCGACCCACTATTGCTACTAATTAAGTGTGACCATGAGCAATAATAAAATATGGGCTTTGAGCTTCAACATTGGCGGGAAAATTTAAAAGTACATTTACAGTTAGATATAAAATTAGTAAAGTTAAGTTTTTGCTCATCAACTTAAAAAGGAAACCCCAGTTTATTTGTTTTCAAAATCATAGATTTTATTCATTTTTGCGTTTTTCTTATGTTTTTCTTGTCGACAATTAATTACATACAATTACGAGTAAATGACGTTCGCTTTCTTCGTGTATCTAATATTGTTGCAATTTGTTAATTTAATGGATTACTTATTAATTATTTATTCATTTACCCTTTTCTCTTCTAGTTTGACTTTAACATTGCTTTCGCAATGTGATTTAGTATTATTTATTTTTCGATTTCATTGTTTTTCTTTTTTATGAGTTCTTTGTTCAAATGTGTTTAAAATTCTATTGAACTTTGTGAATGGCTGAGTGGGTGTTTGTGTGTACGTGTGTGTGTGCAAATGAGTGTGAGTCTGAGTTGTGTATGTGTTTTGGCTAATGAAATACTAGATATGCGTGCATGTATCAGAGTTCATTTGATATATGTACCTAATTTCTTTAGCTGCTTTCTCTTAAAATTTGCTTTCTGCTTGAAAATTCTATTTTATTGAAATTTTCAATATAATTCGAATTATTCGTAATAATAATAATATACATCAATAATATTTATGGAAATTTGTTGTTGCTATTTTAGTTGTTTTTAGTTTTCGCGTAGTTATTTATTGTTCATATATTTGTTTATGTGAATTTGAATTGGTTTTCTGATTTACGACTTCATCTTTTACCAATTTTTGTTTAATTTTATTATTGTTATGAACTTTTTGTTGGTTATTTTGTATCTCATATCACTGTTGGTGGTTTGTTAATGTTCATATATCGCATATACATACATAGTGTTCTTCAATGTTTTAATTATGTTAGATCAAAAATTCTAATCTCAATATACATATACATTCAATTTTACAAAATTTTCCAAATTTGTCGATATTTTTTCTTTTTTTTCCTTTTTTTTGTATATTTTATAATTTGTTACGTGTTCTATATATTATATATATTTGTATTTTTCTTACGGCGTATGGACTTGTCATACATTTAGCGTTAAGTATATAGTTTTGTTCTCCTCTTTCATTCATAGTTGTATTATTATGTTTAGTTAGTTGTGTTTGATAAGTCGCTATTTAGAAGGAAAATCACACAATGTTATTTTGTTTTTCTTGTTTTCTTTTTTTTTTATTCGAATAAATTTCTTATGTACATTCAGTTAATTTGCATTTGCATTTGCGAACTAGTTTAATGGTTCAGCAGTGGTTCATACACTATTTAACGGACTCTATTCCCACTTCGTTTTCCTTTCCGGCTTACACACTATCATCGAACCGTTTGCGTTTCCACTTTACACACTATCTAACGGGCTGTTCCATTTCCGTTTTCTATGGAAAATGATATTGTTATTTATATTTTTAGTTGTTTTCTTGTCGATTTTCTCTTTTGGTCAAGTTACAAGGCGTGCGTTTGTGGGAGTCGACTCAAACTAAAAGTCGCCTCGGCCGAAGCCGACGAATTTCGCAGTTTCCGAACCAATTCAAAGAAATTAAAGTTAACGGAAAAGAAAAGAACACAAATAAAACAATTTGTAAGAAATATCACGTAATGCATGTTTTTTTATTTAACTTTCGTATTTCTGTTTTAATACGTTTACTCGCTCGCCTTTAAAACGTTTATGTTCGTAAGTTGAATAATTTGAATCATGATTACCTTACGTTTTTTTGTAGTTTTACATCAATTTAATTTGAGTTTTATGTTATTTTTTTTTTAAATGTGTTTCATAAGATAAACTTTTGTTTGTTTGCTTGTGTTTTGCACGTTCTTGTTTCTTATTTCTTGCTTCTACATTCATTATTTATATTCTTGACTTGCAAAGAATTCGAATTACATTATATTTATTTACTTAATTGGTTTTTTATATGTTTTATGTATAGCAATTTTGTTTTTATTTGTTGTAGTTTCTTTTGTTTTTAATGGTTTGGTATTACTTATAAACAAATTTCATATTATAGCTACAATTTATTAGCTAGCGTTATAATTTTAATGCGCAGCTGACGCCCCTTAACGACTTTACAAACTAATTGAAAATATATAATATAATGCATAGTACATTGTCATGTACTGCGTGTGTGTGTGGGGTTGTGTGTGTGTGTGTATATGTGTATATATAATTAATTTATGTATTAAGTTATTAGTTACAATTGTTTTTGTTTTTCTTTAGTTATATCGTTGAGAAATACGCAGAAACAGAGCTCGCAAATTATATTGAACACATATCTATAAAGTTGAAAACTAAAGTAAATCAGGCGAAACAATTTAAGTTTTTTTTACAAATTCCTTTTTGCTTAACATCAATTAATTACAAATTAGAAAGTTGCTTAAAGCTAAAAGGGGTTGGATTGCAAAGAATTTAATTACCTTTCTTTTTTTTGCTGGTTTTTTCTTTTCAAAATGTTTTCATAATGAATTCTATACTTAAATTTAAATATGTAGTTGTTGTTGGTGCACGAAATGTCTGCTTAAATTTGTTTTATGAATTAATAATTAATATATATATATATATATATATATATTGTTATGCTAGGTATCTAGACTAAAAGTTAGGGACACTGGCGCATATTGTGTCCTTTGTTTTTTCCTTTACACTCAAAGCTTACAACTTATATTCAAAATATGTTTTGTTTTTCTCTTCTTTTTGTTTTTAATATTTAAATATTAATTTATATATATATATATATATGCCCTTTCATTTAATATAAATCTTTAATGCCCTTTGTTCAGTTGAGTTGGTTGATAAGTTTCTCATTTGTTGCTGTTGTTGTTGTTGCTACTACTGTTGTTGCTGTCGTTTCTTGCACAGAGCACAAATTAAACAAAATGCAAATAGTTTGTTATCCTGTTCTATGTTAAGCAGTGTAAATGCAAAACACACACAGAAGCAGCTAGAGAGCGGATGTGACTATGTGTGAGTGCAGGAGTAAGAGTAGGTGTGGGTGTTCGCGTCGGTGTCAGTGTTGGTCGGTATATGTGTGTGTATTAGTTTTTGAGTTCTTATTGTTTTCTTGCTTTTATCTCTGTTTTGAGCTGTTGTTCTCCTGTTCTTTATCTTCGTTTTTAACTGGCGTCATATTCAATATCATCATCCTGTCTAGCTCTTTTTCTCTCTATGATTTAACAGTTCACAATTTGCTGTTTGTGAATAACGGTACTTTTCAGTAGCAACCGTTTATTGCATTAACTGTAGTGCATACTTTCGCTTTTTTGCCGCCGACTTGCAATTGTTTATCAACTAAAATTATAAGTTAAACTTAGTATATGTTAATCATAAGCATTGCTTGATGATTCATCATCATCAGCATCATCATCATCATTATCAGAAGCATCAAAGCAAAACGCAAATATTTAAGAAAGCAAAAAATAATTATATAAAAAAAAACATAAAAATATACAAAAGGAAAGCGCAGCTGTTTGCTTCTCGTTGCCTGTTTGTGTGTGTGTAGGTTGTGTAGTTGGGTGTGTGTGTGTTACTGCAACATGTTGTCAGCGACCAGGTCACTGAATGAACTATACATATAACATGTTATGTATGCATACATCAATCAATTATATATTTATATATATATACACACATATGTATATATATATATATATATATATATATATATATATATATATATATATATATATATATATACATATGTATATATATATATAAAGACCGCAATATACTAAATATGTTATTGTATGTGTGTGTGGCTGCATCTGCTGTCCGTAGGGGTGTGTGGGTAGGTTTGCTGTGTGTTTTTGTTTCGCATCCTCGCACAAGATTTTAAACAATAAAATATTATTTAGCATTTCGTACATCACCCACAACACCGCCAGCTTGAAGGCCGCCGCCTTGACGCATCCGTATCGATGGACGTCGCTCGGGTGTATCATATGGTTGTCGCGAGGAATTGGTGGCCGCCATCGAATCATCCATATTGAGTCCGCCATTGCCAATTAACTGGCCACCAGCCCCTCCATTGCCACCGGCTCCGCCGCCACCTCCGAGCATGGCAAGCGTTTGTCCAGCACCCGAACTGCTGCCCAGCATCTGTTGTGTGCTGCCGCTGGCTGTGACCATTGCTGTGTTAACCTTGTGCTGTTGCTGCTGCTGCTGTTGATGAGATGCAGCAGCGGCGACAGCTGCCGCTGCAGCAGCAGCATCCTGGCCCTGACCCTGGCCGTCGACGCCATCCTGCGCCTGTTGTATGGCTTGTGGATTCCGCGGCCCGCCAAACTTGAGCAAATTCCAGTCGAAGACGTAGTCATATGTGAAGCCCAAACGATGGAATAGATTGCGAAACAGTTTACGCAAGTGGCAGTAGTCGGGACGCTGCTCAAAGTGCATCTGTCGGCAAAAGTTTAGATAATTTACAAACTCGCTGGGGAAGCCTTTACAGAGCACAACAATTGATGTGGATAGTTTCTTTTCGGAAATGCGCTCGTATTTCTGTCGCTTATTTGCAGCCTTCAAGCCCTGCCAGGGCAAGGCGCCCAAATTAAAGTACATGAGCACATAGCCAAGCGATTCGAGATCATCGCGTCGCGACTGCTCAATGCCCAGATGTGTGTTGATCGAGGCGTAGCGTGCAGTGCCCGTCAGATTCTTATTTTCCCGATATCCTATGTGCTTCAAGGAGCGTGCATCGCGAAACTTTTTGGCCAAACCAAAGTCAATTATGTACACCAGATTGCCCTTCTTGCCGAGACCCATGAGGAAATTGTCGGGCTTGATGTCGCGATGTATGAAATCGCGCGAGTGTATATAGTCAATGCGCGATATCATCTGATCCGCCAACAGCAGCACAGTTTTCAATGAGAAGCGTCGCGAACAGAAGTTAAATAGATCCTCCAGCGATGGGCCAAGCAACTCCATTACCATCACATTATAATCACCCTCGCTGCCGCACCAAATTATTCGCGGTATGCCAATCCCACCTTGCATCGTCTTATAAAACTTTGATTCGATGTGCAGCTGTGGATGTTTAGTGCGTATGCATTCCAATTTGATGGCCACCTCCTCGCCCGTGTTGATGGTTGTGCCCAAATAGATGTCGCCGAACGAGCCGGAGCCAATTTTGCGGCCCAAGCGATATTTGTTCCCAACGCGCAGTTCCATGTTTATCTGTGTTTATTGTGTGTCTGTGTGCGTGAAATATATACGTATATATAAATATATATTATATATGTGTGGCGTCGCCTGCATAAAAGAAAAGGAATTTAATACATACATAATTACATTCAATTGAAATTTAGAATGAGTCATATTTAAATAATATTGAATGTATAAAAACCTTTCGGAGTCCTTTTCGTCTGTTTCCGCTTTAGATACGTTCGCTGCTGCCTCTTCTTCTTATCTCTTTTATTTGATCTCTTGTATTTAGTTCATGCGTATTCAAGGCGTGCGCTCAGGCGTTTCGTTGGCTTTTGGTGCCAGTCGCGGGCGCTGCGGCTGCTGCAATCACATAAAGTTCTTATTAGCTCTTGCTCATTGCTCGCATGGGCAGTTAACGGTAAATGCCAAAGACGCGCACACATACGCATATGTATATATAAATATTATTTTACAAGACATACTTTTAAAATTTATACATTCACAAAACATATTTTTATTTAAAATGTTTTTCCATTTAAATTTCCTTTTTTGTTACTTTAAAATATTTTACAAGCTGTGTTGTTATCGATAACTTTCTGACAGATATCGATTACGCGGTGCAGCTGTAAGTCTCATGAACGAAGAGAAAAAAAACACAAAAAGGGAACAACAAAGTGATGATAGGTTGCGACGTGCGATGTGTCAATTAGATAAGACCGCAAAACGAAACTGAACGTCGCTCAGCAACAACGAGAAGAAACAGAAGAACAACAACAATTGAAAGACAGATACTTGTAAATGCAAAACGCTGCAGTTTGCAGCAAAAGCAAAACTTTGTCGTGCATAACAGTAAAGCCAAAAGCCAAGACTGTTCAGCATTTTGTTACACTAAATAAAAAGCAATATCTACACAGATTTGTTTACCAAATAAATAAAGCAAAAAAAAAATGGTTTATATCACACCGGAATCTTTGAGCAAAAATAACTTTTTTAAACGTTTGCTCACAGTACGTAGTTAGGCTAGTTACAATCTAAACAGATCGATAGCAACGCTGTTATGTGTTATCGGTGTCGAGATTTCTGCGGCGCCAATTCAGCGTGAATTCTAATCTAAAAATAACAAAAACAGCGCATCAACATGACGACATTAACATTCAACGATGAATCAGCGCAAAAATGCATGGCGGGTTTAAAAAAAATACAAAAAAAAATAACCCAAAGAAAAAACCCTAACAATAACCTGCTGCCAGCCGCAGCGACAATAAAGACAAGCATGTTTCTAAGTGTGTATGCGTGTGAGTGCGTGCGTGTATGCGTGTGTGTAGGTAAACAATTAGAGATGAACAGTAGAAAAAAAGCAGCAAACAGACAAAAAAAATGCCATTTAAATGACACTTTCAGTGGTGAAAAGCACAGCACACACATACAAATATTAAAAATGGAGTCGCGCCCCAGCAAACAGACAAATCTCAAGCAGTTGGGCAGCAAATGGCGCACAGCAACAGTGGAACTGACATTTTCTGTAGCTCGCTACCAAAATAAATGACAAAATTATGTTTGCTTGGTGCTGTTAGTTTTGCTTTCTTCAAATAGAAGACAATTATTATTATGATGCCTATTATAATATAGCTGGTGCCTTGCTTGCTTTGCTTTGACTTGCAGTTATCTACATTTTCTTAGCATTTGCTGCGCTTTCTTTTGATGTCCAACACGTACCTACAACAACAAAAATCCATCTGTACATATGCATATGTGAGTGTATATGTATATCTGTTTGTGTGAGTTTGTGACCTATGAAGCTGGGCCAGTTCTAACCTCAAAACTGGTCAAGCTTTTAAAGGTACAACTACACACATATATCTATGCACATAAGCTGCTTGTAATTGTTGTTTGCTTTCTTTGCCTGCGCTGATTTATTAGCACTCCGCTCATGTCGTTTCGTTTACCGAAAAAAAAGTAACGTTTACCGTTCGTTTTTGTTGCCTTTTCAAATGCACGTTCTAGTTTTGTTGCTGCCATGATTTGACAGGTGCGCAAGTGAGACAGTCGCAGGCTCACACTCGCTCTCTGTCTCTCTTACTCTCTTAAAGTATATATATGTGTGGGTGTTTGTTGTATGCGTGCGTATGAGAGCAACAGCTGATCATGGTGGGAGTGCAGCGGGACGGCTTCTTTTTGTTGTTCCTGTTCTTGCTGTTAGTTCCGGCAGCAGTACCACACAAATGAATATACAATATTTGTATGTATTTATATGTATATGTCGAATATGTTAATTTGATGGGGCCTCTTTACAATTGCAAAGCAGTGAACGGCACGTTGCGTTGGCGGGCGCCAAAAAAGACTTCCGCAAAACACAAGCGCCGTCGTCATAAGGCAACAGAGAGATGTGGAAGCAGCCGCAAATACAAACAGTTGTTTCAACAGAGCGATAAGAGTCAATAGCAATACAACAACAACAATGAAATGCACAGCTAATAAAACAATCTATGCCATTAATTTTGGAGTCAACGTCAACGTTAACAGCGGTGGTGACGTCGACGTCGACTCCGCTGTTGCAGTCAACGGCCTCGCTGTCGAGGACGAGGCGACCTAACGTTAAACAGCATACGTCGATTTGTTTTTGTTTTTTTTTTCTCTTACTTTTTTCAACCCAAACTATTATAACGGCAAACTGTCTGGCTATAGTCTGTCTGTGAGAAAAAAAGGGATGGGAAGTTTTTATGCCTACCTTGGCGGATCTGGGAGTCACAGTGTGGCCAGGCTGCTCCGCTGCTGCTGCTGCTGCTGCTGCTTGCACTTGACGCTTGCTTCAATTTCCAGCTGAAAATGCACTGCGTTTAATTGGATTTCAATTTCACAAGAACAACAACTACGACAACAACAACACTGGATACGACGACGTCGACGACGTCATGATAAGTGGAAACAAGGCAGCAAAATCATTTCAACTTTCTTTGTTTTTGTTTTTGAGAGCACACACACACACATGCACTCACATTTACGCAATATCGAAAACAATTCGTTTTATACATTTCTTAACAGCTTAAGCCAGGGCCATTTTGGCCATTTGGCAATTTTTTCTTTTTCTTTTGCTTTTGGAATTAAGTATTGTTTAATGATTTTCCTTTTCTGTTTTTTCTTATTTCCCAGCCGCGCTTTGTTTGAACGAACGTGGTCGCACGTCTGGCAATTTAGACACTAGCAGCGCATTCGATTTGAGCAATTTGTTTGCATTTACAACAACAAGAACCGCCAAAAATATCACAAATATGTTTTAAAATATTGTTAAAACTGCGCTGAGGCAAAAAACTACAACGGAGACGACGACGGCGACATACGAAAAAATACAAGCGAGTCGTTTGCCCTGGCACTCATACACACACATATATATGCATATATGTATGTATATATACACGCACGCACGTATGCATGCTGCTGTAGAGTTGTCTCTCTTACACTGTTGTTGGCTTTACAGCGAGTACGTTGCTAGCCTGACTGTTTCAACGTTTTCACACCAACACATACATGTCGGCAAGACGTATACGTACACGATAACGAAGCACACATAAAGCAAGACGAAAAAAGTTGCCACCACTACGGGCACTGTGGCCGAAGCAGTCTCTCTGGCTTTTTGTTACGCACAATTTTCACCATTTGGCACGCGCACGTTGCATATTTATATAAAACCAGCACCAACTTACTTTTTGCGCTTCTATTTATTGTATTTCTTTGCAATTTTACATAAATAATTTAATTTCTTTTATAAATTATTTGCTAGAATTAATCTTGGGAACACAACAACACCAACAACAGGCCCAACCAAAAGTTCCATTTGAGAACCATTTAAATAGTTGCGGAGCTATCGGTTCGTGGGTGGTGAACTAAACGGTGAACCATTTTGTTTACACGATATTGATAAAGTCGTGTTTTTATATACGTATATAATTTGATATGTTATTTTAAAAAATATATTTGCATATATAATACAAAATAATAATGGCAATAATAGAATAATATACAATATGTTGCTTTAACAGCCTTTATGTTGTTTAGAAGCATTAGGAGAACATACGTTTCTAGTTAACGCAAAAATAACAGAGAACAAGTAAAATTGGTTAAACCAATTTAAACATCTTTAAAAACGTTTGTTAAATATATATATACATATATTATGTTTTAAAATAATTATATTGCGTTGAAATCTTAAATATTTTTATTGTTTTGGTCGCACGAAATGACGTCCCTGGTCAATAGATTGTGGCGGTTCGCCGATACATACAACACTGGCACATTGACTTTCCTACAGTTCGCAGCAATCAACTTTTGTATGCTTTTATTAGCCAAGACATGAACCAATTCTAAATTATGAAATTATCATTTTGTTTTAGGATTCAATTTATTTGATATATATATATGTACATACTTCCATGGGTATGTGTATACACACTGAGATACATATGCACATAAATACTTGCAGCCTTATATATTGTGTGCAAAAGAAAGAAAGAAACAAAATAAATATAGGGATAAAATATTAATAGCTTATTTATTTCAAATTTAAAACTCAAATGAAACATCTTTAAATATGTATAAAAAATTGGTTTATTATAATTCGTTTATATTTAAGTATTTAATTGAATTCAAGTCACGCCTCTTCCGATTGGCTGAAAGTGAAAACAAAGCAAGACAACGGGTCATTTGACATAATAACAACAACAGCAAGTGGTTACGATCTACGCTAAATTACACACACACACTCACATACATTCACACAGGCACACACACTTACAAAATTACATGTATACACCCACACACACACTAGGGGCAATTAACGATCTGGCGAATGGCAGGCCGACTTTGAGCCGATGGTCAAACGAACGAACAAAACACGAACGCTCATCAGGTGTGAAACAATAAAACAAAATGCCGGCGCAACGAACGATTTTTGTTGATGTTCGTTTTGTCTTTGCTTGCAAATGAGCTGAGTGCCAGAGCGAGATGGTTGCTTGTATTGTCGGACGCTTCACTTTGCTAAATATTTCCGCAACACATGTCGTACGGCTGGCAAGTGAGAGAGAGAGAGCGAGAAGGACAGAGAGGGGAAGAGGGAGAGAGGGTCATTTTCTAACATTGGCGCTGCGAACGTCATCGTCTGCTCCGACGAACGCGCCATTTGGTTTCGTTTAGTCGCAGAGCAGAGGCTGAAGCGCTGCTGGCGGCGGCTTAGATCAAATAATTTGATTTCATGGCAAGTCGCAAAAATTGTCAAGCGGTCGTCGCATCCGCTGCTGCTGCTGCTGTTGCTGCCGTTGCTGTTGCTGCATTTTTCCGCGACCTTTCGGCGCTGCTCCAGTTTGATTGCAAAAACAACAGCAACACGAAGAAGAAGAAGCAGCAGTAAAAAAAAAAATAATTTTCATTTTGCCTTTTGGCTTTTCTATAAAAAAAATATTTTTTAATTAATTCGATTTTTTATTTATTTTCTGTTTTTTAATACATTTTTTGCATACATTTTTGCAGGCGCTCGTTTTGTTTATCAACAAAGGCGGCGCGCTTTGAAGTCCGTCGGCGAGAAAATTGCTTTGGCAGGGGATCGGGGGCGTGGCAGAGCATAGGGGAACTTGTTAGATGCTGCCATTAAATTGCTAGACGCGATTCAATTTCCCGCAGTGGGGAGAAGTGTGTGAAGGGGTAGAGGGAAGGGTGGCGTGAGGGGGTGGCGGTGTTCGAATGCTGAAGTGGGGGGACTGCTGCGAGTATTATTTCCATTTTGATGCCTTTTATGACACTTCAGTTTTGTTTATATTTTTTGTTATTTGTTATTTTCTGGCTACCCTGTAGCTATTGGCAGTGTGCTCGTTGGGTTTATATGTTCAAGGAGCGTGCGAACTGACTAACTATAGAACCTCCAGTGAAACTTGAAATATATATTCGAGCTTGTCATGCACTTCTGAAAGGTAAATATTTTCCTTTACCCTAATAATAATAAAGATCGATTTTGAAACTTAATTTTCTGGGCATAGCTCTAACACTACAGAGCTTAGAGCTACCAAAGTTGGTATGTAGATTCATCTATTGTTATAGCTTCAGTTTATCAGTTTCTTTTTCTGGGAAATCAATAGGAATAACTATTTAGAATCTAGAAAAAGCTATAGATAGAACTTTAATCTCTCAAGATCTGTCTGCAATATTTAATACATATCGGCCCTTGGGCAAGGGCAGAGAGCTAATTGCACTGCTGCAAGCTGCCTATAGGGTATGTCGTGGTCTGGCAAAGCCCCTGCAGCCACCGTTATATGTTTTCATTTTGTTTTTTATCGCATAAAACGCTCATCTGGCAGACGTCTTGGATCGCTTTGGCTGCTCTTCGATCGTATCTAGTAGGTATTTATGATTTCGTTTATGCATTTTCGTGTTTTATTGTTTAAATTTTTGGTCATTTCGGCGCTCTTCTTCTCCAAGTTTTTGTTTTTTTTTTATTTGTTTCGCCGGCGGCGTTTGAGTAGAAAAAAGTTAATTGAGTTGTAAAAATTATAAAGTTGTAAAAAACCCAACAAGCCTGAGCAGGCTGAAGATGAAGAAATGTCGGGTAAAAGTCACATCCAGTTGAAACCACCTAAAACAGGAGTGTGACAAGGAGAGAGAGGGAGCGAGCGAGAGGCAATACTAAATAAAAGCCCAACATAAAGGCGCATCGATTCTTTTTATGGCCATGAAATGAATAGCATCTAGTTTCGACAGAGTTATTCTTCACGTTTAAGATTTGTGATTTTTACGATGTCGTATTCTATGGTCGCGTTTTCAACTATGTCGAGCTCAAATATAGATGTAGGCATAAGAACAGATAAACGTGGCTTATAATCTCTTGGCCCAAAGCTATTATTCCAGCCAATGTAGATAAAATGGCAAAGACGTTGACCAAAGCAAGCCGTAGGTCTTTCAAATCATATTGATTATCTCCGAGTATATCTATAAATAGATAAAGTAGTTGGTGGCATGAATACATAACTAGCCTGAAGCCTAGTTCCCTCTTCTTTAACTTCAGCTTAAGCAAATTTTGTATTGGATTTGATTCGTCTCTTCTTAAAATACATTTGAAGTCCGAAGAGGGAAAATTATTTGTTTTTGATAGATTTAATATTTACTTTAGTTCCATTTATAGCTCAAATATATCTGAGTCTTTGGTTCTTGACTCTTGTTCAAGGAGTCTTAATTAATTTGATTCGCTTCAATTTTGCTTCAACTTTGTGGCAACTCACCAGACTCAGTTTGAGGTTTAACACAGTCTTAGCTGAGAGTGCTAAGAGTGATTGAGTTACTGATTGACAGACTGTTGACCAGTTATGCTCCTTCACGAACTGAAAGAGTATATTGGTTTTGTGCACACTGCGTCGGTCTATTGAAACCAGAGACTTTAAATTTGGAAATTCGGAGCTCGCGTTGCCAACCCAAGATCAAACAGATATAGTAGAAATGACTACGCCCCATTGGGCACATGGCATATCGAGTATACTATATTGTTGCTAAAGTCTTGGAGACTCTTTTCTGTGGATCTAAAGCAGTTAACTTACAGCAGACTCCCAGCTGGCTCCTTGCTAACTCCTCCACCAAGCGAGACTCAACTGTCTTAGGACCAAGCATTAATGTTACTTGTTTGCTATTTGATCTTAGCCAAGCTAAAATAAATATTAGAAGAATTGATCAAGAGCTCAAAGAACCTGAGTTCTCAATCAATTTTTCAATATTTATCCATAACAAAAATAAACTTCAGCTGTCAAAAGCTCTTCTATTTTGGGAATACAAACTGTTTAGTAAGTTTGATTAAAAGTTTGCTTACTAATTAACTGACTGCTTTACAGCTAAGGCCATAAAGATTGAGCAACATATGGAGAAGGCTTGCAGCACAGCCAATTTATGCCAAGCCAAGCACGAAGAGTAGCAGTAAATGTTGCCAGCTATAAACATATTAAATATTGAAGTCAAATATCCATAAACAAAGTTCCTTGCTTGATTATATACTCACTAATTCGGTTCTTCTAAAGGCTACCCGTTTTTAGCCTCTCTCTTATGCATCTAACGATCCTTTATCCTTGGCGCGCATCTATTCGCTGTGTTGCCTCAAATGCAGCTGCAACAAGTGGCCAGCAGCGTCGCCCTGGCTCGGCCCTCGCACCCGCTCTTTGTCGAGGTGCCATAAATCCACATGTGGTTGTAAAGTGTCTACTAATTTCTGTACGTTTCTTTCCACTCTCTCCTCTCTCTCCCCCTCCCTTTCTTTTCTTTCAACTGTCACTCGATCGCTGCCCCCTTTGGCCCCTGCTCTGGATGCGTGGCTGGGGCCACCTAATTTCACATGAACATGTTAATGTTTACACGCGTACCGCGATTTTTATGTGCGCGCCCCCGCCGCGGATCGTCAGCTCCAGTGCGACGAGTAGCCAACCAACGGCGTCTTGAGCTTATCTCCAGCCGATCGCCGAGTCGAGCCGAGCCGACGATCGCACACTCGAGAGCCGAGCAGTCGGCAGGCGCAGATCAGTCGCAGTTTGCTTGTCAGTCGCGTCGCGTCGCCTCGCCAGCTGTGTGGGTGTCTGTCCAAGTCTCTGGGTGATCCGTGCATCTCTAACTGTAGCTGTATCTGTATCTATAACTGTATCTGTATCTCGAGCTTTGTATCTTTGAGGAAAGCCGCGCAGCCGTCGGCAAACTGTTGAGCGAAATGAGCGCCGATTCGAATGCGGAACGCGCCAAGCCCGTGGAGACTTTGGTCCTGGCCAACTATGCACTGAAGGCCGAGCAGAAACGCGCCGCCGGCCAAGGTGGACGCAAGGAGGATGAGCGCATCACCAGCGCCGTCATGAAGGTCCTGGAGGGTTACGACTGGAATCTGGTGCAGGCCTCTGCCAAGTAAGTCAAGTTAGCTGATCAACTGGAAATTTTGTTTTTAGATCTAGTTTGGAGACCCAAAAAATTATGCCTGAATTTATGATATTTGAAACACTTATATAAAATCCTTTATTTCTGATCAAAATTATTTTTTTTTATAAAATATTTTTATGGCAATTTAAGCTTTAAGTCTGAAGTTTTAGCTAACTACATTTTTAGATTCAAAATTTCAAGATTTCGAGACTCAAGATTTCATGATCATTTATCGATCATGTATATCGATAAATATCTATATCTCTATAAATCTATATCGATACAACAGTAACTAGTGATCACACTTGATCAACAAGTTCTTGGGTCTTTTGAGCTCATAATCTCTCAAGTGTAACTTCCTCAAAAGCTTTACAATTGATAAGATAATCGTCATAATCGATATGGCTATAATTCCTTGACAGACTTTCCGCTTCCACTGACAACGAATTGAATTGGGTTTTTATATTACAGTCAGCAGGAAGATCGATTGGCTAAGTTGTGTATAATCTTAATTTCACAAAAAATGCTAGCAAATTTAAATATTGGAATAGTTTTTCTAGACTTATTAAAGTGAGTAAAATCAGAAGGCTTTCTATTGCTCTAATACAGCTATCAGAGTGTTTCACATCATTCAGAATATTATTTGGTATATTGAAGAATAAATGGAGTGTTTCATATGAAAGTTACTTTAATGTATGGTATTTCTTATCTGATTATTTTATTATAGCGGTCTCAAAGAATGTTTGAACTACAATAATATGATTCATATAAGAATTATTTGTTAGGCTTTTGAGCAAAGAAAACTAGGAACTGTGTTAATAAGGATATATAATATATCAAATGTATCCATTCCAGCTATTCCAGATATTATACGATATTTATTTCTTATCGTCCAGATATATATCTAAGATATATTTAAAATATATATAAATCTATTAAATATATATTATATATTCAAAAATCTTTAGACTTATCCACATGTATGAAGGAAGAAGAAGTTTTAAGAAGTTTCACTATTGTTCAGTAGCAAATTGAAAATCTATAAAAACTTTAAAGAGAAACCTTTTCAGCACAAATTGACTTATATTCGATTATGTCTTAGTTTAAGCCGCCAGAAACATGTCCTAGTTCATGTGGCCCAAGCGGTTTCTATAGTGGAAGTCTTGTGATGTGGATAACCTGGAATCGAAGCATTTATGAATGACTAAGCGTGGCGCTCTTCTCGTCGCTGATTAGCACAATTTTATGAGCTTGCGGTTGTTATTGTTGTTGTTTTTTTATTTAAATGGATAAACAAACTTGGCGAACCGCAAAGGCAAAAAGTGTAAAAGAAGAAACGAAACGTTTGGGAATACGTTGGCATATGTAAATATGTGAACTGAATTTACACATCTTAACACATGGTAGTAGCTCACATACATACACTTATATATATATATATATATATATATATATCTATAGGGTTCAGTTGGTATAGAAAATACAGTGAAAACGGGGGAGCAGACGAAACACGTTCAAAATGAAGACGACAAATCAATTCAGGCATAAAAAGCGAATAAATATGTTTTTAGCATAAAGATGTTAACTGCTAACAAGCTGCCCAGACAGCCAGGGGGAGGAGCAGGAGGGGACGAGTAGGGGCTGCCCCCTTTGGGGCTGTGCAGGTGTAGACGTGTGTGAAAATAATGCCAAATCCAGTGGAAGCACACGATTCGAGACAGTCGCAGTTGTCACTTGAAGCCGAATGACAAATGTGGCAAGTGCAACAAGCCAAGTCGCTGGCGCCAACGCGAGTCGTGAGAAAGACCTGGCGGCCTTCTCTCTCTGATCCCTGTGCTCCTGTGTAACGGTCAACAGCAGCACCAGCAGCACCAGCAGCACCACCAGCAGCGCTCTTTGAGTATTTGCCGAGCATTTATCAGCTGGCAACTCGTATGATTAGCTGCCACACCACACTCTCGACAGGCTGCATAAATATGTGGCCTAATGAGACGAGAGAAGAAGAAGATTGTGTAATAAAGACTAGGATTAGATTGCCGATTGTCCTACAAGTATCTGAGGTACTATAAAGGCGCTAACTTTGCTCTAATTACCGAGCATTCGACGTAGCGACAGTCCACTGTAATTTTGGTCGCTTATCAGCTACGTGCGCTCAGCTGGTCGCAAACAAGCAACATCCTTGGACTACGTGTTGTGTTTATTGTTGCAAAAGCGCAATCGCTGTCAAGAACACGTGTGTGTTTGCACAAGGATATGACGAGTAGGAGGCGGGCAACCCGTTGCCTTTATCTGCGCTACGTAACGGCTGCGCTTAGAGCTCCTCTGCCAGTCCCCAAGCCAGAGCCAGACCCAACCCCTCAACTACGGCCCGACTCTGTTTATCTACGCCTGCTTGCTTTTGCTTTAAGTCGCTTTAAAAAAAAGCCCATGCAGGGTCGTATAGGCCCAAGGGGGTAGGGCGCAGCTCTATGTACTTATGAGGGAATTATATGTTTGCGGTAGCAAATACTTGTTCAGAAGTATCCAATGTCATACTACATAGGCTATAAGTTATAGAAGGTCTTAATGAACCTTTTGCTAACTGCTTAAATATATAACTGGGATCTTAGCTAGATTTAATCTGATTTGTAGACCAAAAGATTTTTGTGTTTAAGGAAAAGTTAAGAGCAAACATATTTAAGGAAATATACATCAAAACTTGATTAGTAAAAATAATAAAAAATATTTCAGATTTGTCTATTTTCTTGTGACTATTTTTACTGCCTATCGTTTGATTATTTTGGACGAAAATAATTTTTTTGAATACTTAATGCTTGTTTATGATGCGAACCTGAAATGCAAGTGTTATAAAACGACAAACAGGTAGATAAAATAATATCGTTATTAAAAGACTCAGATGTGATCTTTGCCGCTGCCGCAGCCGCAGCTCAACTTTTATAGCGCCTCGAGCGCAAACCACAAACTCGTGTGTCCAAAAATTGTTCATAGCGTGAATCACCACAAAAAAAGGTGATTTGAACCTAAGCATATTAGAAATAAAATATCAGAAAAAAAAATAATAATAGTAGAAATAAATGTGACAAACACTTGAGAAGCTCGATGATTGGCGCTTGCCTTTATCATCGCAAATCGCAAGTCGCGAGTCGCGAGTCGCAATTTCGCTTGCCCTGCCTCTGCCTGACTACTAACCCAGCCCCTGCCCTCGTAGGCATAACTTTATTGTCGCTTTCCGCGCTCTTTAAATATGTATATATATTTATAAATATATTTATATCATATCGCATATCACCCCATGCACCCCATTTGTAGCATTTGAACCCCTTTTTGAGGGAATAGCTTTAATTTCTTCACTTTTTATGCGCGTCTCTAAGTGTATTTACACGACGATTAGATAAGAGGACTTCGGTTATGCTTCGGCGGCGACGTTATAAATAATTTATTGCTTATCTGCCTTCGTTGAGTTATCAAAGCAGCCAACTACCACCAGGTGGGGTGTCCGCCGGGCACTGATATCATCGTGGACTAAGTTTCTTTTCCTTTGCTTTTTCTTTTGCTTTTCCTTTTTTTCTTGTTTTTTTTGTTTATTTTTTTAGTTTTTTTTTTGGGGTGCGCTTAGCCGCCCAGTCAATTTACATGCACAACATACGGATCTCGCCTAAACCAACATTTCAGACTCGCATGTGAGCCAAAAATGGGGCGTGTCCAACGCGACCAATCAATCCACACAACATTGACACATATCACGTCAAAAACGTTGTTCACATAACACAAAATTTTGAATAGACATATTTAGTTACGCGAAGCTTGGGAAACTCTTTGCTGATGAAACGCCTAAGAATGTGATGGGAAATTAAATTAGAAAAAAAATGATAAATTTATTTGCTCTCGCGAGAGACTAGTTGCTAAGAGTTGGTCTTTCATCTCTAAGGCTAAGCTAAGCTTATTCATTTGTTTTTTTATATAAAATGATAATTTTAATATATTTTCCACTTTCTCTTCAAAAATATATGAACTTAAAACATTTTTTCATTTTTCATTTTGTTACTCTAAATATGATCAAAAATTTTTGTTTTGCAAGCCAAATTGTATTTTTTCGTTTAGATTCAAAGCAAAAAAATAGTGAAATATTTTTGGTCTTTAGCAAAGTTTTTCGATCTCCGTTCTGCTCACTTTGGACAAGCAAAAAGTGAAAGGGAAATATGTTTTCAATCGTATAAACAATACACAGCTGTTTCAATAGCTGTACATTCGATTTTCATGGCAGTCTTTGGCCGCTTGCGTCCAGAGTGCGGGTCCTGGCGCTGCTGACAGGGAACTCCTGTTGCCAGGACCCGACTCGCTGTCTATTTGGACAACAACAATAGCGCCAGCCAGACACACGTACGGCTTACAAGATAAATATTGATTTTGCGGCTGTTGTAGGTGCTGGTGGATGCGGGTGCTGCGATTGCTCCAACTGGTATGAGTGGTGTGGTTGGGTGGTGCTCTGCTCTGGTCTGATGCCGTTGGCCGTTGGCCGTTGCTTAGCTTCTTTGCGGTACTCATAACCGCAACGGCCCTGCCTAAACTTTTGGAGCCCACATTCACTCGGTCTGGCAGCCGAGCAGAGCTCCCCAGTGTTTCGGCTCTTCAGTTTTGCCAGCTTTCAGGTACCCAAATTGTTTGCAAGTAAATTTACAAAATGTTGCCCTAACACACACACAGACACACATACGTTCATATCCTTATGGCATCTCACGCCAGCAACACTTTGTCGTGTTGTTTGGTTTTTGCTCGCCGCGTGGGTTGCTTGCCAAAATGGCCGCCAGGGGCTGTGTCGGCGGTTTTATGACCAGAGACCAGGCACAGGTGCGTGACAATGGGATCTGGGAGCTGGTAATAAACGCCCACACGCACACAGATTGCTGGGATTTGAATGTAAAGCCAGCCGCTGCACAGCGGCAAATGAAGTGGAATATCGAGTTGACAAGCGACTCATTTTAACATAT